CTCTCTCTCTCTCTCTCTCTCTCTCTCTCTCTCTCTCTCTCTCTCTCTCTCTCTCTCTCTCTCTCTCTCTCTCTCTCTCTCTTACATTTACACATATACTTGTACAGTGCATATTCTATGTAATCATACAAGCACATATGTACATAAAACTGTGTGTGTGTGTGTGAATATGTGTGTGAATATGTGTTGTGTGTGTGTGTGTGTTGTGTGTGTGGTGTGTGTAGTGTTGTGTGTGTTGTGTGTGAATATGTGCTGGTGTGTGTTGTGTGTATGTGTGCGTGCGTGTGTGTTGTGTGGACGTGAAGAATAAACAGAAAACCGCACAAAAAAGACTTTGTTTGAAATATCATTTTTTTCCACATCAAAGGACTAAAGAATATTGATAAAAGTTTGAAAATACCAGCTGACTTACTGATGAAAGATAATGTATACTGTGTTCATGTGCCAAGCCACGAATTATGGTCAAATTGGGAACATTTGATAAAAAAAAAAAAAAAAAGTTATGTTGAGAGAGAAAGGTATGATAGATTGAATGTTATATGCAGATATATGTGATATTCAAGTAGATAGATAGCTGTAGATAGATAGATAGACACTGAGGCAGATATAGATGGATAGAGGTAGAGACTATTAGATAGGTAGATTGGGAGATTAGAATAAAGATGATAATGATAATGATAACAATACTGATGATAATGATAAAAATAATGGTAATTATAATAATAACAATAATGGTGATAATAACAATGGTTATGATAATAATAATGATAATGATAATAATAATAGTGATAACAACAACAACAACAAAAACAACAACAATAATAATAATAATAATAATCATGATAATGATGAAATACCTTGATAATGATAATGATAATAAAAATGATAATGATAATAATAGTAATAATGATAAAAGCAGTAATGATAATAATGATAATAATAGCCATAATAATAATGATCACTAGAAGCACCGGGAGAGCGCATACCTCCGCCAAGCCAATAGAATCACTGATACACTAAAAAAAAAAAAAAAAAAAAAAAAAAAATCACACTGGAAAAACTACATTAAAATAGTCTTTCTCAAGTACACAGATGACGTCAGCAAAGTTACCCTCCTTGGCGGATGTGATAAAGTTACTTAAGATAAAGTTAATGATAATAATAGTATCAGATGTAATCATTTAAAAAAATAATAATAATAAAATAAGAAATCCTGAATCCGGGTCCTGTTTCTGATCATCAACAAAATTCAATTAAATCTAATTGGGTTTGGCTGACACATCTCTGGTTATAATTTCATTGAATATCTTTTTATAACTTTTTGAGTTCCTTTTTTGCAATATTGGTAACTTATACAATTATTTTTAAGAATCCTGGATCCGGTTCATAATCCAGACCACAATCAAATTTAATGGAATCTAAATTAGGTGAGATACAAAGAAAAAAAAAAAATATAAAAGTCTGTTTATAACTTTTTTTTTATTATTCTAACAAACTAATAAATATTCGAATCGCTACCAAAATTAAATGGAATTTAGTTAGGCTAAGACGCACCTCTGGTAAATATTTCAAAAAAAAAAATATTCATAACTTTTTGAGTTATTTTGCTAACCAACGAACAAACAAATTAACTAACTAACCAATGGATAATAATAACAGAAAAAAATTATAATGATATTAATAGTAATAACGATGATGTTACTAATAATGATGATAATACTAATAATGATGATAATACTAATAATGATAATATAAATAATATATGAATGATAATATATGATAATAACAATAATAATAAAAAATGTAGAAATAATAATGATAAGAGCAACAATGATGATGATACTAATAAAAATAAAAATAAATATGATAATAAAATAATGATGTCAATCATGATGATAATAATGATTTAACGATAACTATCATCATCAATATCACCATCATTACCATTACTATCACCATCAATTTAATCCTCATTACCATCAATTCCCTCTTATCCATTTTATCTATCCACTTAGTTACTCCCTTATTTATCTCTTCCAAATCAGCAGACGTATCAAAACACATCAGACACGAATATAAAATGAATCTTAAAGAAGACATTTCGGAAATGACTCGGAATTAGTGTGTTCTCGGAAGACGTCAGTTGGAGATGCCGTCTAATGGGTTCCTGTGGGAGTTGATGTCTCGGGCTTCTGAGGATCAGGGTTAGGATAAGGTGCTTATTTGCTGCTTTACTTTCAGACGTATCAGGGAGATAACATGTTGATATTATGTATAATATATAATAATATTTATGTTATATGAATAATATATATATATAATATATAGTATATATAGATATATATATATATATATATATATATATATATATATATATATTATATATTATATATAGTATTTATATATATTATATATTGTGTGTGTATATCAGGTATATTAGTATATATATATATATATATGTATATATA